GGGATTAGCCGTATTGTGTACTAAAGCAAATATTTGAAGTTCTTTTAAATTTTATTTTTAAATTTTTATTTTAAATTTTATTTTTACAGTTCCTGCTTGATGGGAGTTGTGTACGAACACAATACAGTAGGGTAGCTGTTTCACACAAATTGCCATACTCCATGAATTGATGTATGCAGGGTATCAACTCCTAAGGTCAAGGGCAATAAATAGATCCCAAAAGCTTTCAGGAGGAAATAAATGAAAAAGAACCTTTGGTGTTCTGGCCTTCTGGTGACCATGTGTTATATTTACTAGCAGACTGACCTTGGACAAGACACTCAGCCTCTCTAAGCCTAGACTCCCTCATCTGTAAATTCTCCTTCAGAAATTGCACTGTAAACACTAAACACCAAGCTCAACCCGTAGAAAGCACTAAATCAATGTCAACCATTATCACTATGATAAATCTCTTCCACTAATGGACATCAAGCTGAAGATGCAAATAAGTGGCACCGAGGGCAAAATGCAGCCACTGCAGGACAGCAGGGCATGGAATAAAGAACAATAATGAGGACAAGGAGAACTAGAGTTCTGGACTCAATTCCTGGGGGCACCAGTGGCAAGGCATATGACCTGGGGCAAGTCATTAACCTTCTGAACCAAAGAGTTCTCATTTGCAAAGTCAGAACCCAAAGAATGATTCCATAATTCTGGAACTCACAATTCACCATCCTCTCTGGTATCAAGTACTTAATTGCAAAAATATACTGGCAGCTGCCTCAACTTTCTACCCTGATAAGATTCAAGCTCTTTAAGAAAGAAACAGCCAGGCACGGGGCTCACGTTGGTAATCGCAGCAGTTTGGGAGGCTGAGGCAGAAAGATTGCGAGTCCAAAGTCAGCCTCAATTTAAGGAGACCCTAAAGCAACTTAGTGAGACCTTGTCTCTAAATAAAATATTAAAAGGGGGATGGGAATGTAGCTCAGTGGTTAAGCACCCCTGGGTTCAATCCTAGGTACCAAAGAAAGAAAGAAAGAAAGAAAGAAAGAAAGAAAGTCGATTTGCATTACTAGTGGGAGGGGGAAGGTAAGAGTGGAGGAAAACAAAGTACAGCACCCACATCAGTCCTCCTGCCCTGTCCCACCATTGACTCTGAAACACAAGTTTCCCCACCTCTCTTAAATGACATGCCCAGTAGCCATTTTCATAGCACTTTGCAGGCCTTCTGTAAATGAGAACGACTAAGAAAGCTAAAAATATTGGCCACGGGTTTGCTCCAATATCATATGTGCACCTGATACAATATTAGAAACAAGGGGCAGTGGCATCTGCCGGCTGGACTGCAAAATGCCACCAAAACAGGGGCAGTTTTGTGGGGCCTGAAATCTACGGTGTGCAAGGAATTTGACGCCTCTACTGGAACTCTCCACAGTCAGCTTACAACTCAAAAATAACAAACGGCTTAGATATTTCCATTTTCTTTCTGCAAAAGCATCCTTATTTTTTCTTGGGCCAGGCTTCTTCTAGAAACAAACGAAAAACGATTCACTCATTTCTCCTAGGCCAATTAAAACAGTGTGGACAATGTCTTGTTCACGAGCTCCCTTTTCTGGGTGGCACCCCTAACACGCTCAAGGGTCAGTTTATTTCTCCATGTGTAACTGGCTCCGGTGACCACTCAGCAGTGCCCTTTAACTTTTGAAGTTGTCCCCTTCCCCAGTTTCTGTCACTTTCGCCCTAGCTCTTCACCCAGTCACTTGAAGTAAGAGGAGGTCTGGGAAGGCCCTCTCTCCTCTGTACAGGGGCCTGACCTCAGGAAACCAGACCCAGTCGGGTGCTCAGACTCCACATGTTGTTTTGGGGATCTGCTGAGGAACGAGGGCGGGGGTCTGCACCTCTACTTTCCCGAACCCCACGCTCTAGCGGGAGAGGTTGGTGCCCGTAACTCCGGGGCAAGATTGGGGAAGTAAGAGGACCCTCAGGGCATCAGCTCCTTTCTCCACGCCCTTGGTCCACTAGGACCCGGGGATAAGGGCCAAGGGCTGTCATCGCTTCCCCCTCCCTTGCACAGAACAGTCGTCCCCAGATCTCCGGAGCGCAACGCCCTCTGGCCAAGCCAACTCTGGGCCTGCGGGACCGGTGCCAGCCTAAACACGCAATCCGCGCTGTGCGGGTGGGGACACGGCTGCTGTCACCCTCCTGGTCCCCAGGAGGGGAGCGGGCGCAGGCATTTATCCGGAGACAAACGCAAACGCAGGGCTGGCCGCCAGATCCCGGGTCCCCCAAGAAGAACTTGCAGCTACCCGGATGTCACGCACTTACAGTTCGCGGCGGCCAAGTCCCCAGTCCCTGGCTGGACACAAACCGRGACTCGCGCGACCCAGCCCGGGAAACTACACGTCCCGAAACGCACCGCTCCGCGCAGGCGCAGTGCGACCGAGATGCCCGGGCGCCGCGCGCTCCGTGCGCAGGCGCAGCGGGTCTCCGTCGGGTTGCGGCAGTTTAGAAACTGGAAAGGTGACCTCATGGGTAGCCAGGGCCTGCGGTTTTTCTAGGCCAAGCTTGGGGCCTAGGGGAAAAGATGGCTTGGAGGAGCCTGACTTACTAACACTCCTTTCTCTGCCATTGAGTAGCGCCTTCTGTTTACCTTTGCCAAGTCTTAACCCTGTCCTCCTGCCTCAATTGCAAATCTGTTACAGAAAACAGATATTTTGTATATAGCGGCATCTGTAACTGTAAGGGGCGGGTCCTGTCGTTGGTGCTATGGTTTGAATATGGTTGGTCCCCACGACAGCTTGCGATGAGGCTGTCCCAGTGGGTTGGGAGAGGAAATTTCATTTTAAGAGGCCCTGGGGTCATGAGGAATCCGCCCTCAAGAGGGATTGATGCCATCTGTGGCAGTGAGTTTGTTCTAGCTCAGAGGGGACCCAATTAGCTACCCAGGGCGCAGGTGAGGAGGTTGCTGCTGGTGTTGGGCAGCTCCGATGGGGCTACTTCACTTTCTGCCAGAGTTGGGGGTTGAAGCAGCATGCAGCCCTCCCAGAAGCTGCGCAGATGCGGGTGCCATGCTCTTGCACTTTTGTTATGGTTTGGATCAGACTTGTCCCCCAGAGGCTCATGTGTTGAAGGCATGATCCCCAATGCAGCAGTGTCCAGAGGTGGGGCTTTGGGGAAGTGACTGGATCATGAGGGCTCTGTCCTCATCGATGGTTTTATCCGTTGATAATTGAATAGACCAATAAGAGGTGGTGAGGGCTGTGGGAGACGGGGCCTAGTTGAGGGGAGTGGGTCCTTGGGGTCATGGTCTTGGGGACTTATTCTTATCCCTGGCCCCTTTTCCTCCCCCCCCCCCGCCCTTCTGCCTGCCGGTAGTTGACATCTTTACTCCACCACGTCCTAATGCCATGATGTTCTGCCTCACCTCAGGCCCACAGCAATGGAGCCTGCTCCCCAAGGACTGAACCCTCTGAAACCGTGAGCCATCATAAATCTCTCCTCCTCTAAGTTGTGTGTGTCAGGTATTTTGAAAATGCACAACGTCCCAGCTTCCAGAACCATAAGCCAAAATAATGCCCAGTCTCAGATATTCTGTGATGGCAACAGAAAACAGATGAAGGCAGTTTATGCAAGGAGTTATATAACCACACTTTGAATAAGAGCTTTTTTTTTTTTTGCTTTTTTTAACTTCATACCTTAAGAGTTGAGTTCCTACTGGACCCTTGTGCCCTGGCTGAGGAGGGGGAAGGAGATGAGGCCTGAAGCCCCACACAGTTCTCTCTTGCCCTTTACTTCCTACTCAGCTGCACTGAGAAGGGAAACATGAACCCAAGTTAGGACCACACTCCTGCCCTGCTTGGGCTTTGTCCTCTGGGCTTTGTTGGATTGTTGTGGATTCATCTCCTAGGAACCGTCTGACTCCCTCTCTCCTGGGTGTTCCTGCAGCTCAGGGAGTCTCGTTCATCTCTAAACTCCTGTTTAGAGGAGTTGAGGCACTAACCCAAGTAGAAACATTGCCCAATGGAATTGGTGAATGGAAGCATCTCATCTCAGAGCACCGCAGATTCCTCATCTGCAAATGGAGCAGCTTGGCAAGAACAAACCCATCTCCAAGGTACCTTCCAGGTTTGACTTCCTAAAACATCACAGGTGCAAAGTATTCATTTTCTTTTAAATTGAGGGATAAAATTGTACCTATGTTCATGTGTAACAATGTTTAAAAGTATATGCACATTGTGGAATGACTAAATCGAGCCAATTACCATATGCATTATCTCACATGCTTATCCTTTCTGTAGTGAGAACAGACACTTAAGGTTCACTCAGTATTTTTATTAACTGTTGTCCCCAGGCTATGCAGTAGATTCTTGAACATATTCCACCTATTTACCCGAAATTGTGTATCCTTTGACTGGCAGTCAAAGCAGTCACCATCCAGCTGTGCATGTTGAACATGACATTGGCAACTTGCCCTCTTCCTGTACCTTTAGTCTCTTCAAATGTAAATTGAAAATAAGTGATTATAAGTAAAAGAAAATAAAAATCAAGTAAGCATAAGGTTGTTTATGAAGACATGTCCACTTTTTATTATTTTTTTCCTTAAGTAATGAGAACTTTTAAAAGTTTGTTTTCTGCAAAACATTAACTGTTAGTTTAAAAATGTGTCTCTGTTGAGCTGTAAGTTTCCTAAGTGTTTGACTTCTCTTAGTATGGTTTGTTTGCCCTTTGCAATGTTTGTTCTGTCTTCAGACTTCCAACAAGTCAATACTAGGATAACAATAAATGTAAAGTAACCTCCTGGTTCTGTTCATTCATCCCTTCAGACTCAGCACTCATAAATTAATAAGTGAGTGTTCCTATGTCAATCCAGTCAGCAAGTGATCGATTTTGAACCTTGGCTTCTGAATAATACATCTGGGGTATTTATCAATTGAATTTTTCACATCCAGCCTAATATTTCATGAGAAAGAAGGTTTAATGATTTCTAACTCTCTTTTCTATTCCCACTGCCCCTGTCCAGGTCCTTGGCTTGAAATTTGGCTTTATTCTTACTACTGACATTGATTTAAATGACATTTATATTGCATAGAAAATGCTCAAATTATTACTCCAATAGGCAAGCATAAGTCACTGAGATTGAAATGTCTTCCATCTCAGTTGGCCAGCACATCACCTCCATGAAAGGTCTCAACAGGGAGAGGAACTCGATCTCTTTATACAATGACAATCTGGATCTGCTTGGGAGCGCAGGCACCTCCTCACACCTGGATGTCAGAGGTTGGCTTTGTCTCTTTCTGCCTTATCAAGGAGACATTTTGAACCCCGCTGCACCCACGTTCTCATGGATGGTGGCCTTTGATTCCTCTGGATGCAGAATCTGACTCTTGTACTTTTCCTGCCAGTCCTCCACGATGTACTGGTGGTAGGGGTCCTGGGAGTGCTCGCGCCTCTTGGATTTCACAGTGCTCACCAGGATGGCGACGACGATGAAGGAGAACATCCCTATCATCACCATGAGGTACAGGATGACGTAGTAGAAGTTCTCAGCATCCACCTTGGCCTGGAGTGCCGCCTGCTCCTCTGTGGTGTTCCTGCGCCAGTTGTCCATGTATGTGATAAAAACCCTTCGGAAGACGTCTTCCAGCGTCTGGGTCAAATTGAGTAAGGAAGGCATGGTTCCCTCCTGCTGTGATTTAAACAATAAAATAGATGAACGAGGTTGAGGAAGCAGATCCTTTCAGCATTTGGGAGAGGAGGGAGGGATACAGAGGGAGAGTGATATTTCCTCCTCCTTTTTTTTTTTTGTTTTTTGTTTTGTTTTGTTACAGTCAGCCTTTTAATAAACCAGAGAGAAATCAAAGGCAGTATAATCACTTCATGTCAACTACAATGGCACGGAATGAACAGGTTTCAGCTTTTATACAGCATTTTGCCACATTAACAAGTACAGGGTGGTGGTGGTGGTTGGTGTTTTTGTTTTTTTTTTTAATTTTTAAAGTTCTCTGTCTATTTGTAAAAAAAATAAATATTTGTAAAAAAAAAATAAAAGCCGCAGCTGTTTTTTTTGTTTAAGAGTGATCTAATATACAGAATTTTAGCCTTTAAGGGTATATACCTCTTCATTTAAAATGCTTCTGGACAATCTGCTGAAACACATTTTGTCACAGGTAACATTAAAACTACATACAGACCGACCTGTGTAACATCACAGCCAAACATGACTTTTTTCCAGTGACTTTAGCTTTCTCTCTCTGTGTGATGTTGTACTCTTTGTTCATCATGTTTTGCTGTAATGTTCCTCCTTAACCTGCATAACATCTGCATGCACATCTTGTTAGTCTTTGAACTGATCATATTCACTGTTTGCATGCATAACTACTTTACAAAAAATCTTCATGGTGACTAAATGACACATATATACATTTTGATATACACATTTGTACATAAATGTATACATATGAAAATGAGGGAAAGATGAAGTTAATAGGTCAAAATGTTAATACTGAGTGATACACTTACCTGTGTACCACTGTGTGTGTATGTGTATGTGTGTTTATACATATTATATATATGTGTATATATATATCTTTATGCTTTCTCATGTTCCGGATTTTCACTAGTGCTCTTGCATTACTTACAAAGATCAGTAACCTCACAACAGCCAGTAAATTGCTGCATTCAAAATAAGCATTCAACAAAAATCGCTTGACTGAAGCCACGCTCACTTATGAGTTATGGGGATGAAGACAATGAAGACACAGTATTCAGGCAAAAGAGGCATGGACAGGCTTTCCAATTTGTTCCATCTAGTAGGTGTAGGCAGTGCTTTGTCCCAAAGAAATGAGCATGTACATCTGTACTTTCAAGAACATTGTGTGTAGGTGATGCCAAGAAATGCCCTGAGCAGTCCCTCTCCTTTCTCAGGTCTGTCCTGATCATCCCCACTGCCACCATCCAGCCACCAACATCTCTCCTTGGGTGATGCAGAAAATACAGTACAATACAGCTCGCCCCCAAATCATCACCTTGGGGGTTTTGCCCTCTCCGCTCTGTACAGCAATGTGCTCTTTCCAAGAGGGAAACAGAATCATGCTATCCCCTCACTTTTAAAATGGTGCAATAGCTTCCTGTTGTTTTAAAAATAAAATCCAATTTCTTAACAGGGCTTACCCCACTTGATCTGAGCTAGCTCCTGACCCACCTCTGCCATGACCCCCTGTTCTTAAAAGATTTGATCCCACCCGATTTTGTTCCTCCAAGTCAGTGAGCTCTTCTGTCTCAGGATATTTGCACATTCTATCACCTCTACTTTACTCTTCCACCTGCTGCCTCTTTGTGCGTTAGGTGTCAGCTCAATTGCTACCTCTCTTGAATATATGTCATTCCTTCAGGAAAAGAGATGTTTCAGGTCTTACCATCTGGGAAAGAAGCAAAGAAAAACTTCTCAGAGCAGGTCTTCCCAGATTTCCTCATTGGAAATCAGTGTAATGAATATATTTTTCTCCATCTGACATTTTAAGTTCTATTTTCAAAGAGCTCTAAGATCCCTTTCACAGATCCCCCACCACCAGACAGTTAAGTAACACAGCTCTCTGTGGGCTTGGTCCACGCGAGACTCGTACTCTGTGTCTTTCACCCTGGAGGAGACAGGTGAGTTCACACCATCGTCCTCTCTCAAGGGCCAACTCCCCACCCTCTGCCCACACCAAGGTGAACCCTGGAAGTGTGGTGGGGCAGGACGACTTCACTGACCCTTCTCCATGACTTCATCCAAAAAGAATGTTGTGATTTCCCCAGTTTTTCTATCCCCTCCGCCTTGTTCTCTAGAGAATTCAGTTTCCTTTTGAGAAGTCAAATTGGAAAAACAGTGGAACACAGAAACAACTTACAAAAGACACAGAAGAGCCACGTTGCTAAACTAAAGATCCTCAGGTGTGCTGGGAGAAGTCTGCACGTGAGATGAGAACCCTGAGCGCCAAGTTCCTCTGGAGTCATGGATTCAGCCTTTGCCAGCCCTTGAGAGTGAGAGGCAGGTACCCCGTATTTGTTCAGCTCTCCTCACGTGGACGGAGGCTCACTGCGAAGCAGAGCAAGCATGCTTTTTGTTCAGACCTGATCAGGGGGCTGCAAAGGGCCTGTGGGGTTCAGTACCTAAGTGCTGACCTTCAGCCAGGCTGAGAAACGGGTCCACAGTGATTTTGAACACCGATGCACAAGATGTGCATGACCACAGGAAAAATCCAAATCGTGGTATGTGAAAGGGGTTTCATTGGTGGACATTATGCTAAAACATATTCAAATGGTGAGTTGATTTGAAGTTCTGACTCCCAGAAAAACTGTTGAACTCACAGGCATCAACCATTCTTATCCTACCGTAAGCACTGTCATAGGCATTTACGTTGTTAATACCAACTCAGATATTAATGTGTTCTCTTGAATCATATGAAATTGCCACTTAACTAGGTTTAAATGGTCAAATATCAGCAGTTTTATGTAGTTCAACCTAATGGAAATTACATTTCCAATAAACAGTTCTCACCGCATCACACAGAACAAGAAGGGGCCCTAGAGGTTATTTAGGCTGCCTTAGTCTTTGGGAGGTGGCATAATTATAGCCTAGAGAGCTGAAATCACTTGCCTGAGATCACAGGGCTCTCAAGTTGACCACAGTGACCAGACTAGAACCCGAGTGACCCACGCCAGTGCCCGCGCTCCCTCTGTCCTCACAGAGGTCACACGTTCCAATAGCTGCCTGACTCCAAGGCCCGTGGCTGGCCAGCTCACTTGGGTAAGAAATAAAAGACTATGGTTTGAGCTTCCATACATCAATTCACTGTGCCTTGTCTCCAGACAATAGGATGATCCATAATTCCAGTTCTCCCTGTCCTAAATATAAATTCACGACAATGGCCATCTGGACACTATCAGGAAAGCAACATTCATTTGACCCCCAAACCCAAAGTTCTCTTCTCTTGAAAGACGACGGACCCCTGGAATCACCTGGGCCTACAAAGGGCAGCAGGATCTTTTATTTTTATATCAAGAATAGAAAAAAATGTGATTACACGAATCTCCCATTTCAAAAGAAGACATCTTCCAGAATTTTCATCCAAAGGCAATTACTGGAGAAATGAGCAAGGAAAATAGGAAGCAAGGAAGGAAGGAAAGACAGAAGGAAAGGAGAGGGGTGGGGCTGGGCAGGTGGGCCAGGCCACATGCCAGAAAAATCATTCATTTTACAGTGTTTGAGAAACAGACAGGAGATAAATTTGTTAATTCCTCAAACTATAAAGACTTGTCAGTTTTCCACAGAACTTACGTAGGCAGTGTGTGAGCAACGCCAACGGCCTTGGCTGAGCCGGGCTGCTCCGAGCCTCCTTGGTGGCGTTAGGAGCTCTGCAGACTGTGCCTACATCTCAGGCCGCTGAGCACCTTCAGCTTATGACCAGCAAAGCCCTTGCTAACTGCAGCCTGCAATCCTAGGCTTTTACGAACCCAAATGTTTAATCTAATCTTCTGTGGAAAGTTAAACACTGGCGGGCGGTTGGAATTAACCTTGGTGCCTGATGGGGTGGGTGTGCCTGTGTGGAGCCTGGCTTTGGGCAGAGTGGCCCAAGTTCCCTCTTTGGGCCCCATGATGCCATCTTTGGCCAGTGAGGTACCTGGGCACAGTGAGTCTCTTCTCAGCACTGTGCCTCAGTGGACCACGGCTCCCGGCCAGACATGTGCAGGAGTCAGGGGTCCTGGGAGGATGAGGTGAAGGCGGCCATCTCCCAGTGGACGTGAGCACTGGGGAGAGGCAGCATGACTCGAGACAAGTGCTGATGTTCTGAAGACCTCCCCACGTGCTGAATTTTATTTCAGTACCTTCTCTGGGACCATTTCCAGTCGACTTCATAGCAACATTGCTGTCTTGTAAAGTAGAAACGGGTCACAAAGGTATTATGAAAGCAAGTCCAACAAAGTGTTTAAAGACCCACGAAGAGCCAAACAAACTCTAAAAGGTCCTTTTTCTGTCGTGGTGGGAACTGGACAGAGTGGGTCATCATAAGAGCTGTTAGGAATGAATACACACCAGATGCCAGGTTCTTCCCTCAAGTGTTTGTTACATTAATTTCATGAACCTTGCTGCAGCCCAATGTGTAAAGCAGATGAACTTGACAGCGGAGGAATCCAGGAACAGAGAAGGCAGGAGGTCAGAGGGCGGAGACCTGTAGCCAGGATCAGGGCCCAATCCCAGTGCTGGCTAGAGGTCACACTCACCCGAGGTCCCTTGAGACTCAGGCGGATGACTCTAGTGACTCTGTGACTTGGGCTGTGGCTGTGTAAAAGGAAGTGAACTTTATTTCACAAGCGGATTTTCTCATTAAATGGTCCTCTGCTTTTCTCATTAAAAGGTGGTCTGAAGCACCCTGGGTGGTGAAGAAAGGTAAAGTTAGTGCACATATCAGGTGTGTTCTAAAGAACCTGTACTTGCACCAGCTTCTCAGTACACTGTTTGCTCTCAGGGTTGGCCTCACTGAACAAGACGAGGCAAAGCTAGCCCTGCAGGAGTGAGGATTCCACTGGGTGGTGGTGCCCCCTGCTGGTGGACGGGAGGAACAGAGTCCAGTCCCGCTGAAGCAGCCCTGGCGGCCGAACTTCACTCCCGCCCAGGTGGGGCGGAGCAAAGTGCAAGGCCACACTCGGGTCACTGAAGGCTGGAGGTTGACAAGCCAGGGGAGAGGACTGATTAGCGATCCTGGTCTTTGGTTTCTGCAATCACAAGATGGAGATAGAAGTTCCTACTTCATTAGGCTGTGATCAGATGAGATGTTGGAACTACAATACTTGGTATGCAACTCGGCAGGTAGTAAGTGCCCTACATGTTTAACTTTCACTATTATTTTTAAGAAAAATAAGCAGGAAGACATGCCAGAGAAAAGTAGAGCTTGGCCAGCTCTTAACGTAGAATAGAAAGTTCT